AAAAAAAAAAAAAAAATCTTTTGAATTGTGGTTTCCCCATGAATACCTTTGTTTAAGTTGGTGGTGAGGGTGGGTCAGGAAAACTTGAGATAGAGACTTTCAACGGGGAAAGGTTATAGGAATATCAGGATTAGATTTTCCCCAATTATTTCATGATGCAAATTTATGTAAATCAAATAAATAATGGGGAAGGTTGCCATTAACAACAGCCAGCAAAGCTTTGCTTCGGTATCTATGGTTACCTGCTCTGGGTACAGACAGATGGCTCTTCTCAGGTTAGTGGAGTCTTCTGCCTCAGAGTCCGTGACAATGACCATGACGAGGTTGGTTACTGACTGTCCAGGGCTGCCCTCAGATGTCACCCAAATGTTGCTTGGTCTCCACGGAAGCTAAAGCCAGAGGCTGCAGCTCGGCCCGCGTGGCCGCCTCGGGGCCGGGTGGGTGGGTGAGCGGGGGGGCAGCACTGTTCTGGTGAATAACGTCCCTGGGGCGCGCTAAGGGAAGAGTTCATGAGGAGCGTGGGCCGGGCTGAGGAAAACCCGCAGCGAGGATGCGGGGCTCGAAGGCAGGGAGGGAGCTGTGCCCGCGCAGTCACGGTCACCCCTCCGGGCGCCCGAGACCACGGCCCCTGGGGTCCTGAGCTGCTTTCGGGATCCAAGCAGTTGCCCGAGGAATGAGTGAGCCGCGTGGGTTTTGTCCTGCTCTCTTCATTCTTCCCCTCGTCCTCTCTGCGTAAGTTAAAAGTGGGTATTTGAAAAGAAAAGTAATTCCACGTGTCAGTGCAGCAGAGTAGCCGTGAGGAAAGGTGACGGCTCTGTGTGCTTCAGCCCTCAGCTCCGGGGAGCCGGCCGGAGAGCTCCGTGACCTTCAATCCCTACGAGCCCGAGGGGGGCACCTGGGCCGCGGATAGAGGTGAGAGGCGCCCTCAGCCGGACGGGACGGGATGGGACGGGACGGGGCTGCGGGGGGATGGCCCCCGGCCTCCCTCACCATGCGGGGCAGCGAGAGGCTCTTCCCGCAGCCGCTTGGAGCTTCGGCCTCCTGTGGTGCTGACACAGCCCCACGTTCATGTCCAGGGGCTCTGGTCCCGGAGGCCGCATCCTGGCAGGACGTCTGTGTCCCGGCAGGGGCAGTAATAGGGCTGCAGAATGACCTGCTGAGGGAACTGGGGGGTTGTGTGAGGCCCCAGAGGCTGCCGCTCAGGGTGGTCACCCTCCATGAACCCAGCAGTCCTCTACTGGACTTCTTATAGGAAACGGGGCCTCTGGATGACCTCCATGGGTTCTCTAGGTGACCCAGGTCCATTTTTTATTGGTGATCTTGGTCTGTTCATTGCTATAAACCCACCCTAAAACTTAGTAGCTTAAGACAATAGTCACTTAATGGATCTCTCCCTTAATTGTCTGGTGCAGGTTGGGCATTTGGGCAATGCGCAGCTGGGTGGTATGGGTCAGGGCCTCCCCCAGTCACACTTTGCCAGCCTGAGGGGGTGGAGGCCACGATGAGGCCGGGGCCTGGGGGCTGACCCCCATCTGCCTGTCTGTACTTAGTCTTGGGGCTCTGGCCTGGTCTTCCCACCCACACTACTTGGTCCCTCACAGCGTGGAAGGTATCCAGGCAGCGGGACTCCTTGCAGGATGTCTGAAGCTTCAAGAGCCACATTTTCAGCAAATACACCTCTTACGACTTCTCCTGACTATGTCACCAATATCACGTGCTGATTAGTTGACACAGTTACAAAAGCCATGGAGGAGAGGTGACATGGACTGCACCTCTCAATGGAAGGAGGGTCCGAATTTTCAGAAGTGATTAAAGTCACCATAGCCCATGAGGAGCCCCATCCGTATTTGCCCTGGCATGAAAGACCCTGTCATAATAAACATTTAACACAAGAATGGGGGTCAAGTACAGTGGGCATGGGGGGCTTTTAGCTGCGCCCCTACAAGCTGGGTGAGACCATGCCTCAAGTACTCACAGCACCATAACTACCCAAAGTGAACAAGGTCTTGAAGGGGAAGCTGTGACCACCCGGGAGGTAAGTGGTGGATGATGGGACTTTCGCTAGGGAACCAGCCCCAGACTGTGTTTCTTGACTCTGCTGCAGAGGCCCAGAGAGAAGCCCTGCCCATGGACACAGAAGTGTATGAGAGCCCCTATGCGGACCCCGAGGAGATCCGGCCCAAGGAGGTCTACCTGGACCGGAAGCTGCTGACCCTGGAGGACAAGGAGCTGGGCTCGGGTAACTTCGGCACCGTGAAGAAGGGTTACTACCAGATGAAAAAGTAAGTCGGAGCTTTGCACCAAAGCCATTTGGATAATTACTTATTGATTTATCTTGTAATTTCAAATAATAGTACATATCATACAACAATTAGAATTGCTAAACTACCAGAATCTCTTCCCACTTCCTTTGGTCTTCAGAAGACAACCCACAGAGAATGTTCAGGAAAAACCCTGGTCTCTAAAGTCCTTTGGAACAAACCCTCTCTTTGAATATGTGTGTTTGAATTAGTATATTACCGATATGAATAAAGTTGGTTTTGTTGTTAGATGCTATTTTAAATTTAAGGACATCTTGTAAATTTTTTTTGAGTAGATAATTAACATGATTCAAGGGTCAAGAACATTGATCAAAGTAGGCACAAAACTCTGCTTTCAGCCCTGCTCCTTCCGTGTGTGTGTGTGTGTGTATGTGTGTGTTAAATATATATATTTGAATAGTTTGCTTATTTTAGTATATATATATGTATGTATACCAGTCATTTTGTAAAATGGGCCTAAATTAGCCCGTATGAAGGTATACATTTTCACAACTGGCTTGTGATAGTTAAATTTCTGGCATAATTATATATGTAAATTAGCATAGATATGATTGTAGACACATAAATTCTCCTGGAGGGCTTGGGGGAAGGGAAGGCCCTACAGGTCCCTTTGGGACACAGTAAGGTCTTTATGGCATTGAGTCCCCAGTCGGTACACACGACCCAGCCTTTCCCCAAGTGTCCTCAGTTCCTCTCGGCCTCTCAGCAGGGTGAGCTCCCTGTGCAGGGTCTTGCACAACTTTCTTGTTGGATCCATTTGTAGTTATTTAGTACTTTTGATGTTCATATGTACAGTGTCATTTTTTTAAATTTTATTTGTTTATCCCTGGTGTTGGTTGAATATGGAAATATAACTGGTTTTGCCTGTTGACCTGATACCCAGCAACCTTGCTGAATTCACCTATTATTTCTCACTCATTATTTCTAGTAGGTTACCTGTGCGGCCTTTGACCCAGAAATGTGTCATCTGTGAATAACGACAGTTTTGTTTCATGCTGTTTAACTCTTACACAGGTTATATTTCTTTCCTCCTCACTGGAGTAGCCAGGAACTGCGGCTCAGGGTTGGATAAAGGGGCCGTGCTCCTGCCTCATTCCCGATTTCAGGGGGAAGCTTTCGGGGTCTCACTGTTAGGTTTGTAGCTGCTCTTGTCGGCCTAAGAAAGTTTCCCTTTAGTTCTTACTTTTCCGAGAGGTTTGTTTTGAATCATGAACGTGTATTACATTTTATTGCATACTTTATTTCCACTGCTGGGATAAGCATAGTTTTGATCCTGTTGTGTAATGCGGTAAATTATACAGATTTTCTTCTTTTGAATCCTCACCGAGGTTATGTTTATTGATTTGAGAGAGGGACAGACAGTCAGACAGAGACATCGGTGTGAGAAAGGAACATCAATCAGTTGCCTCTCATATGCACCCCAACCGATCGAAACCGCAACCCTTTTGTTGCACTGATGATGCTCCAACCAACTGAGCCAGCCGGCCGGGGCTGCACCGATTGATTTTCAAATATGAAACCCATGTTGCATTCCTGGAATATACTCATCTTGTTCATGAATTATATATTCATAGTATCTTTTTTATAATTCACTGCATTTTCTATTATTTCTTGGAGAAACTTTGCATCTATGTGCATGAGGGACATCAGTAAATTATTTTCTTGTAATTCCTTTGTCTGGTTTTGGCATCACGGTAATGCCGGCCATATAAAAAATTCGTTGGGAAGTTTCCTTCTCTTCTCTGTCCTGGAAGAGACTGTAGGTGTTATTTTCTCCTTAAACATTGGGAAGAATCGAGAGGTTTTTGCTTGTTAACTTTGACCCCCACCTCACACCATACACAGAACCAGTCCGGGTGGGTGGCTGGTGAAATGTGAAGGTAAAACAATAAACTGTCTAGAGACAGCGTAAGACAGTGTTTCCGTGATCTTGGGGGAGGAGGGCTTCTGGTGCTGATGCCGGGGTGCGCCTCCGTCTGTAGGGCTGCCGCGTGTGCCCAGTGTGGAAACACTCCTGCGTCTGCACCGAGGTGTCTATGCCTGTCTGAGTGTATGTCAGACCTGCTCTGCTGTCCCTCCCTTGACCTGCTGTATCCCGTAGTTCTTGTTTTAGTCTCCATTTGGGAGTTCAACAAAAGAGCTATGCTTCCTGCATTGGTGGGAATCGCATCACAGAGATGCAGTTTTCAAAGCAAACATAGTTAATTTCCATTCATTTATGTGAGTCCCACTGTGTCAGATGTTTTTAAGAGTCCCAGCACAACCAAGGTGAAGTTTTTATTAGGAAATAAAAAATAATTAATTTTTTGCAAACTTGCTCAGAATTCACAAAGCTCAGTTTGAAAGTGTTTTGTAAACTATGGGCTTTAACAGCACAAGCTTTTCATTTCTGCACCTATACATCAAAGGGGTGTTGTATTTACATACATTACACATAATCTGAGTGGTAAATCTCAAAGTGTCATAGGGATCCATTCACGCCAGAGTTTGTAAGTCTCTTAGAAAGTTATTTAGATATTCGGTTATGTCAGGTGTCTGCTAGGTTGGGACATTCTGCGACCCCAGCCCTACCCCACTGTTTTTAACTAGTGAACTGTTGCTCTTTGTCTGTAAAGTGACGGGACATTGTTGGAAACGGCTCCTACGATGCCAGTCCATTCCACTGCTATCTGTGCCACCGCCTCTAAAAGGCATTTATCCAGAAGAGAGCCCCTTTGAAAAGTTTCTTATGTGATACCATTTCCTTTTCAGGGTTGTGAAAACTGTGGCTGTGAAAATCCTGAAAAACGAGGCCAATGACCCGGCTCTGAAGGATGAGCTGCTGGCAGAAGCCAACGTCATGCAGCAGCTGGACAACCCTTACATCGTGCGCATGATCGGGATCTGCGAGGCCGAGTCCTGGATGCTGGTCATGGAGATGGCGGAGCTCGGCCCACTCAACAAATACTTACAGCAGAACAGGTATCTTCAGGCGCCCAGAAGCCTACACCGCGAGGGCAGGTCCCCACCGCACACACGGGAGCCTGGCTCCTTCTCGAAGCCTCTCTCCTCCCTTCCTTCCTGGGACCTTGCAAGAGGAGGGGAGATCGCTGTACACTTTAGATCCAGTGGTGGGTTTATTTTAGCTCCTTTTGAAAAAAAAAAAGAAAAAAAAGGCAAAACAAAAAACCCTTCTAATTTAACAATTTGGTTTTCATTCCCCTTTGCCCACTCGGTACTGGCCCAGTGATGGACTCGGCTTTAGACTATCTTGGCAGTCAGCATCACCTCACTAGGAAAACCATGCTTTTCACAAGAAATATTTAATACACTGTTTTTTAAATCCTCACCTGAGGATATTTTTTCCATTTCTTTTCAGCGAGAGTGGAAGGGAGAGAGAGAAACATCGATGTGACGGGTTGCCTCCCGCACACACCCTGACCAGGGCCGGGATCAAGTCTGCAACCAAGGTATGTGGCCTTGGCCAGAATCGAACCCGGGACCTTTCAGTCTGCAAGCCGATGCTCTAACCACTGGGCCAAACTGGCCAGGGCAATAAACATTTTATAAGGAGTAGCAGTGACCTCTTGCTTTCTGACTGACCTCTACATTCCCGTGAGCAGTCACTTCTGAACACATCAGCTGCCGTGCTCTCTCCTACAGCCGTGGTGGGGATAGGAGAGCACGTGTGGAATAGCTCAGAGAATAGCCCCTGGTTACTGAGCCCATTCGCTGCGTTGTGTTTCTACTTAGAGTGCATCTTTCATCTCCATAGAAGGGAGGCGTTAGTCCCACTTCACAGGTGAAAAACTGAGACTCAGGGTTGGTTTTGTCTTCTGTCCAATATTGGAACAAGGATTCCAGCGGAAGCCTGGCTCTCCTTTAGCCAGGTCTGCCCAGCCCACTCTACGGTTTGTCATGCAATTCAAAGCAAACCTTGGAAGTTGCACCAGTTGAACACTGGGAGAACGGTGTGCACTTTTGAACAGCTATAGCTTAACAAGGCTGTTTGTCACCACTGTGAGTCTTGCCTTGAATATGGGAACAAGAGCACCTACCTTCTGTCTGTGAGGAGCGCAGTTGGCTGTTCCGAAACGGGCCACCGTGCACTGTCACTAATGACACGCTTGACTTGCAGGCACGTCAAGGACAAGAACATCATAGAGCTGGTCCACCAGGTTTCTATGGGAATGAAGTATTTGGAGGAGTGCAATTTCGTGCACAGAGATCTGGCTGCAAGAAACGTGTTGCTGGTTACTCAGCATTATGCCAAGATCAGTGATTTCGGACTTTCCAAAGCGCTTCGTGCTGACGAAAACTACTACAAGGTAGGAACAGCTCGGCCAGGGCTCAGGCAGCAGGTGGCGAAGCGGGAAGGCAGGTGGCCCTCTGTGGGGGTTGGTACGGAGGGTCCCAGGGGACAGTTCCCTGTTTAAAATAGCTGCACAAAAAATGCCCTTCTTAGGCTTGACTCTACTGTTAAAAATGGAAATACTGTACATATCGCAACTTGAGATTTACTGAGAGGAGTATCTTGCAAACTGTGTTCCTTGGGACAATGGGGAATCGACAGTTAAGTATCAGAAAGGGAAATTAAGAAAACAATCCCGGTTACAGTTGCAACAAAGGAATAAAAATATGTAGGAATAAATGTAACCAAGGAGGTGAACGACCTGCACTCAAGGACACATCCCCTCGCGCCTGTCGAATGGGTGTTGCCACCCGACAAAGGCCATGGAGGGGGAGCAGCGCGCCGCTGGTGGGGACGCTGTCGGCACAGCCGCTGCGGGAAGCAGCACGACCGCTCCTCGGAAACTGAGGTGGAGCCCCGAACCCCGCACCCCACGCCTGCTCCGTTTCCTGTGCGGCAGGGGGTCTGTGCGCCCCGTCTGTGGCAGCGTTATTTACCATGGCCAACCTTGGGAACAGCCTGGGTGCCGCCTGCCGGCCGGTGGATAAACGGGTAAAGAAAAGGCGCGCTCACCCACACACCCCCCACACCCACACCCACACCCACCCGCACACATACACTCACACCCACACACCCGCATGCACACACCCACACGCGCACACACACACACCTGCACACACTCAGCCACACACCCACACACACCCACACCCACCCGCACACATACTCACACTCACACCCACACACACCCACCCGCACACACACACACCCGCACACATACACTCACACACACACACACAGACCCGCACACACCCACACCCACCCGCACACATACACTCACACACACACACACACACCCGCACACATACACTCAGACCCACACACACACCCGCACACACACACACACCCGCACACACCCACACCCACCCGCACACACCCACACCCACCCGCACACATACTCACACCCACACACACACACACCCGCACACACACTCACACCCCCACACACACACCCGCACACACACCCGCACACATACACTCACACACACACACACCCACCCGCACCCCCCCACACACACCCACACAGACCTGCACACACACCTGCACACACACCTGCACACACAACCTGCACACACACCCACACAGACCTGCACACACACCCGCACACACACCCGCACACCCGCACACCCCCCCACACACACTCAGCTACTGAAAAGAAGGAAATGCCGCCGTTTGCAACAACACAGATGCAACTTGAGAGCATTACACTGAGTGAAATAAGTCTGACAGAAACGGGCAGACACTCCGTCATCTTTCCTACGTGTGAAACCCACAGAAACTGAGCACACTGAACGAGAGTGGGCTGTGGGGGAGGAACTGGAAGGGGTCTCGGTGTGTCCTGGGGACCTGTTCAGCGTGGTGCCTGCAGTTAACAGGACTGTCGTGGACATGGGAGCTGCTGAGAGAGCAGACAGTAAACGTTCTCAGCCTAACAGCAAGAATGGGGTGTGTCACGTGTCGGGTGTGCAGCGAGCGTGACTGTTGTGACCAGTTCACAATATGTGTGTCCATCAAATCAGCACATTGTGCCGAAGACTAAAGGCCAAGGTAGAACCTGCGAAGAGACTGAGCCCTCAGGGAAGATGGTGACGTGGAGGGTTCTTCTTAAGAAACAAAGTGAAATGAGATGGAAGGAATAAAACGTTGAACAGGATTGAAGAGAAATGACAGCCACGGAGCGGGTGAGCGTGGCCTCGGAGGCTCGTGCCACAGCCGAGGCCGGGCGCCTGCCCGTGGCCGCAGCTCCACGCAGCGCCCCACAGCTGTCCTTGTCCCACTGTGCTTTGCAGACATTGCTCTTCTACAGGTTGAAGGTTTGTGGCAACCACGGGTCGCCCAGGTCTGTCAGCACCATTTTTCCAACAGCAATAAGCTCACTTTGTGTCTTTGTGTCATATTTTGGCAATTCTTGCAATATTTCTAGCCTTTTCGTTGTTATTTTTGTCACACTGATCTGTCCACAGTGATGCTTGGTGTTACAGTTGCCATTGCTTTGGGGCGATGTGAGCTGCACCCAGATAAGAGCAAAGCTGGCAAATGTGTGTGTGTTCTTATGGCCCTAGGACCAGTCTCCCCCTCCGTGGCCTCCCTGCTCCCTGAGACACAACAGTACTGAAATCATACCCACTGTTAACCTGCAGTGGCCCTGATGCTGCCACAGATAGAGGATGGGCCTGGGCAGAGCAAAGTGAAAACCTCTGCAAAGGGGTCACTGTCCTAGATCCACTGAGAACGTTCGTGAACACGGGAAGAGGTGAAACACCAACATCCAACATCAGCAGGAGTCTGGAAGAAGCTGATCGGTGACTTCAAGGGGTCCCAGGCTTTAGTAAAGGAAGTACCTGCAGATGTGGTAGAAACAGCGGAACTAGAATTAGCAGTGGAGCCTGCGATGGGATGAGTCGCTGCAATCTCGTGGCAGGACTTTGAGGGATGAGCAGAGAGAGTGGGCACCTGGGACAGAATCGGCTCCTGGCGAAGGTGCTGCGAAGACCATTGACTTGACCACAGAGGCTTTAGAATATTAAGTCAACGCGGTGAAGCAGCCACAGTGTTTGAGAGAAACGACTCCAATTCTGAAAGCTCTGTGGGCAAAAGGCTACCACACGGCATGGAGTGCGACAGAGAAGTCACTCGTGAAAGGAGAGCCCATGGTGCAGCAAACTTCACTGCTGTCTTAGTTTCAGAAATTGCCAAGCCCCCCCCCAACCTTCATCAGCCAGCACCCTGATCCGCCAACACTGAGGCAGGGCCCTACACCTGCAACGACAGGACTCCCTGAAGGCTCGGGTGACTGTTAGAGTATTTCAGCAATGAAGTATTTAATTAAGGTAGGCACATGTTCTCTTAGACTTAATGCTATTGCACATTACTGGGCTA